TTCCTCTTCTTCCTTCCCTCTTAATGCAATAGGAAGCTCAGAGAACACTGTTGAATAGACCTATACGACAACTTTAGGGATGTTCTAAACAGCTCAGCCTTGAGTTTACAGTCGAGAGGAATTTGCATGATGCTTTGTCCTATTAACTCACAGTTTCATTGGGGGAAAATGTCTTAGGTTTATTGGGGGTTAGACACATTTACAATAATATTCAAAACAGTTCAAAAGGAGTAATTTAGTCTCTCTTCAAATTAATCTCTCTAGATCTTTCAGGATCATTTCTTGGAAGCTGTGTTCTGCTTTTATTTCCCTCCATCTCCTCCTTCCACAGATAACGTAACTACCCTGAGACTTTTCTTGCTTAAGTAGTCTGAGGGCCTCACACTCTTTTACCCTGTACCCCCGACACACCCCCACAACCCCCACCCTCCTGCCACCCCCCCCACCCTTGTCCTTATTTGTAGTCCTCAATTGCATGTGATTCATTTGGGCACAGAAACATGAGTTGTGTCTTTGTTCCTTACAAAGGCTTTGGAAACTTGGAGTCTGGAGCCTGAGTAGGGAGTTGCTGTATACCAGCTGAAACAATCACAGGATCCAGACTGGAGACAGAGGGGAGGGGAAAGAAAAAACAACTCTGCCCCATTCAGTTGGCCCTCCATTCAGCCTGGGGTGGTGGTGGGGGGTGGGGGGGAAGGGGAGGTGACTTAACTTGTGAATCTAGTTGCAGCAGCATTCCTGGAAAACTGGCCCATGGCTGAGATTTCTGGTGAACTTCATCCACCTGTCATGCTGGGCCTTGGGTGGGAGCCAGGACAGGCAGGAAATAGTAGGCTGCAGGATACTGGTGTGTGTCAGTGGCCCCGACCCTCCCATTCCTGAACACAGATGAGCTCGTTGCCTGCGAGGTGGAAGATGGATTCAGGCAGCCAAGGAAAGACTGGTTGAGAGAGGGGGAGGAACACAGGACGTGATGAAGCTTTAAACTCATGGGGGACCTCTTTATAGATTGCAGAATAATTTCTGCAGGGAAATGGCCCTGACTCTTACTCAGACCTGCCTCTTTGTTCTCACTGACCTCATCCTGCACACATAAGCCTAGTTCTCAGGTCCAGAGGAATAATGTCTGGGTCCTTCCCATGTCCACATCTCCCTTCCCCCTGGCCTCTCCGGTCAGCCAGAGAACTAGCTGCAGTGACATCAGCTGGCTAGAATTACATAAAACTTCCCTTTTCAACTCCCAGGCTCCTGGATTTATATTTTGTTTTGTTTGTAATTTCCAAATGATTTCCCTTTGTCCAGCTGGGCTTTCCCCTCTCTACCCTATCTCCATCAATTTTAATTTCCTATTTTCCATGAGCAGGTTTGAGTCAATAAGCTACAAGAGGCACAGGTTTTCGAGGAGCACTAACTCATGAAGATAACACAAAGCAAGTAGGAAATAATTTACTCTAGAAGTTCTGAATTCTTAGGTGACTGGTAGTGTCATATTAAAGCAATGCCAACCTCCTGTTTTGGAAAGAAAGAGGTTCCAGATAGTTCTCCTTGTGAGTCTTCTTACAGTCCATTCCACTGCAGGTCATGCAGTTGGGTAAAACAGGCATTTAATTACCTGTTTATTTGGACACAGGAGAGCAGACCACCTTGACCACCAAATACATGCTGTCCATATATCTGGAATTAGCTCTTCCTTAGGCCAGGGTGTAACAAATTCTAATGTGTATATTGGGGATCTGATTAAGATATGGCAGCTTGTGGTGGGGGCTAAGAGTGCCTTTCTAGTAAGTTCCCAAGTGATAATAAAGAATCTAGCTCTCAGTCTAACACTTATCTGGCAATCTGCTTTTTGGAGATTTATCTGAAGAGAATATGATAACAAAACTATATTGGGGCAGGAAGTTTTCATCTAAGGAGGATTATGTAATGGAAAGAGGAATCATTAGGAGCAAGGAAATCAGGGCTGTATTCCAAGTTATGCAACAAACTATAACCTCTGAGTTACAGTAAAAGTAGATTGATAAGTCCCCAAATGTTTCACATGGGATGTGTGTTTGGATAGAATTTAGACACTAGAAACATTCAAATAACAGAATAACACCTGTGGGGCAATTAACCTCAATCTAGATACATGAATCATTTCTGAAATTTAGAAAATGGGGGTCCTGCCCTCCCTACTGGTGTAACGAGTTAAAGCACAGCACTATGTAGCTGTCTGCAGCCACTGCAGCATGAATTCGATCTCCAGCCAGGGAGGTGAGCCCAGTTCTTGTATGCATAAATAAACAAATATTTTTAAGTTTAGAAAATGGAACCGGGCATAAACAGAAGCATCCAGATGGAAACCTCTGGACTTGATGGTGTCTGAGATCCCTTTGTCACACTTATCCTATGTTCTCGGTGATGAGTATAAAATGGGAAGAGGGATGGATTTTCATTGTGCGTAAAGTATAAATCTCCTTCAGCAAAGATTGATTTAAAGCTGGATACATGATTAAGAAGGTTTAATGCTGGATGTGTTGAGGGAAGACATGGCATCTCTTTCTCTAAAAACTCACCAGGAAAGGATAGGAAAGCACCAGGCTAAGCTGTTGAAGGGTAATTTTTGGCTAAAAGTAGGAGAGATGACTGTGTGGTTGTGACTATTTTAAGTGACATCTGCCTCTTTAGTTAGAGACCCAGCAGGAGATGGAGGTCGGGGAGCACACTCAAATTATAATTGACAAAGGTCCATAAAGATGTTATTTGCAAAGGTAAAGGATGGGCTTCCTTGGGGACAGTAACAATCCAAGGCTCATAAATGTGAAGAAAGAAGTTAGGGAGCCCCAGGAGACAAATCTATAAAGTAGACCACCTTGAAAAGAGCAGTGGTCTGCTGGAAACAAAATGCAGGAAGTAAGAGGGGAATGAACACCTGGATCTGGCTCTTTCTTCCCTCCAATCTCCTAAAAACAAATACTAATACATAGGAAACAGAGGAATTTCTACAACTCAATTCCTGGGTCAGGGAAAAGGGTGAGGAGAAGATGGAATCAGCTGGAGAGCGGGTCTCAAGAATGAACAGGTGTCTACACACACACATGCAGGTTCCTAATAGCACAAGACAATCTTCTCTTTTACATTCAGTTGTGGTTTCAGATTGAGCTCCTTGGACCACATCTATTTGCCAACTTTGTATCCTTTCCAAATTAGTTTTGGGAAGATCCAAAAGAAAGTTGGGTTGTTGAAATCCAAAATGATAGTGTTTAATGGAACAGAATTCCCCACTTTGTTGCATTTCACCATATTGTGCTTCACAGACATTGCAGTTTCCAAGCAGTGAAAGGTTGCGGTAGCCCCCTGCCCTTAACATGCTATCTGTGCTGTTCTCCCAGTAGCTCTACTCACTTGTGTTTTGGTCACATTTTGATAATTCTTGCAGCAAGTCAATTTTTTTTAAATTATTACATTATACCTGGTCTTGTACTCTATCCTTAGTGATTTTTGATGATACTATTGTAATTGTTCTGATGGGTCAGGACCATGTCTACCACATAACAGCAAACTTAACTGGCAGATGTATGAAAGTTCTAACATTCCACTAAAGGATGTTTCTTTCTTGCTCTCCCTCTCCTTGGCATCTCTATTCTCTGAGACAGCGATATTGAAATTGGGCAAAATCATAACCCTACAATGGTTCGTATGTGTTCAAATAAAAGGAAGAATCACAGGTCTCGCAATTTAAATAAAACACAAGAAACAATTAAGCTTAGTAGGAACACAAATCAAAAACCTAGGCAGGCCTAAAGCTAGTCCTCTTGTCCCAGTGGTCAGCCAGGTTAGGAATGTAAAGAAAAAGTTCTTGAAGGAATTAAAACTTACTAGAGTGAGTACATGAATGATAAGAAAGCAAAACAGCCTTATCGATGATATGGAGAATGTAGTTTTAGCAGTCTGAATAGAAGCTCAAACCAGCCCTTCAGCTAAAACCTCATGCAAAGAAAAGTCCTAACTCTCTTCAATTCTTCTGAGGGACGTGCGAAAGCTGCAGGAGAAATATTTGATGCTAGCAATGGTTGGTTCATGAGCTTTTAGGAAAGAAACCATAACATAAAAGTGCGAAACAAACCAGCACATTCTCCAAAAGTTCTTGGTAGTGTCATGGATGAAGGTGGATCTACTAAACAGATTTGCAACATAAATATCACAGGTTTCTGTTGGAAGAAGATGCCGTCTGGGATTTTTTTCATAGCTAGAGAAGTCTAGGTCTGGTTTCAAAGTTCAAAGGCCAGGTTAACTCTCTTGCTAGGGGCTAATGTAGCTGGTGATTTGCGAGAGTTCAAGGTAGAAATTTTTCCATGTTCACAGGTCTGTTGAGATGGAATCTACTCCTAATGAAAATGTTATATGCATTGTTGAAATAAAAAGAAAGTCTTAGAGTATGAAATGAACCTATTGATGAAACAGCTCCAGGGTTTGAGAGGATAAACTCTTCAATGAATTCAAATAGCACTGTCTTGTTTAAGAAGACAACCAACCTTCAGCAAACTTTGTTCTGACAAATAACCAGTCATCAACATCAAGGCCAGACCCTGCCCCAGTAAAACGATTATGGCTCCCTGAATGCTCAGGTGATAGCTGCCATTTGATAGACAATAGTATAGTTATACACAGCTTTTATACTTATAAGTATTGGGGCTTGCTTGATGGTCCTTTGCTTCATGGTGGTGGTGAGGAACTGAACTTACACTTCTTCCAATGTGTGCCTGTGGCTAATTTTGAAATGGTCACCAAAGCTTCCTATCCTCTGCTTACACCCTGTAGTGCTAGGGCGCCTTGGCTTCAGCCTGCTACCTGGTCAGGGTTTCCTATAGGCAGTGGGCAATCACTGCACCCAATGAAGCACACCACCGAGTCCTGGAGTCCTCCCTTCCCAGAGAGGCTGGACGACTCTCCCGCCGGGCCTCAGGGGAGGGTGTCGTCACTTCCTGCCGTCTTGTTATTGGTGAGATGGGGGGGTAGGCGGGGCCTGGTCGGTCCGCCTCTCCTCTGCGGCGCTGAGGTGAGTGTGGGCCGGCAGGGGCGGGGGCGGCCGGGCCTCTGGGGCCAGGGCTCAGACCCTCCCTCCTGGAAGGGCGGTGACGCCCCGCCTTCCGGCGATCGGGGCGTTGGGGTCCGTCCCTGGACCTAGGAAGCCTTTGTCCCTGCGGAGCCGATCCCGCCGACGGCCTCCGTCCTGGCCTGGCAGCCCCTTCCCGGTTCCCGCCAACCACTCCGTTACCTTCCGTAGGGCGCCCAGGGTTGCGCCAGGTCCTTCCTGAGGGGCCCTGGTAGCTTAGCGGCGCAGGCCCTGCTTGGTCCCTATCTCTGCCAACGCCTAAGGTGCCTGGAGCCCCGGTCAGCACGCCTCTCCAGCCCCGCCTGAGCTGCCTTTTCCCTGAAAGCCTGCCGTGGTCAGCTCTGCTCTCTCCTCCCCTGCCCGGGTTCCCCTTCCGATCCCCCATCTGTTCTAAGGGTCTCACCCTCTTTCCCTTCGAACAGCTGGGGACTCTAGCTGGGGACAGGAAACGCCAAGGTGCACCCTCTTCCCTGCCAACAGCTTCCTTAATGCCCTTCCCATTTGCCCCCATACTTAAGTCAGGGCAGCTCTTCAAGCCTTGGCAGCCAGTTTCCCCAGTACCTTCTTCCCTCTCCACTACCTTTTTGCTCCTGGCACTCCAGCGCCTTTCTCCTACAGCTAAGTGTATGTTTCTCCTCATTTAGGCCTTTATTCAAAATCTGGGGCCTTGGTGGTACTGTGGTTTTAATGTAGTTTCTTCTTTTTCAAGACAAAATACAGATAATGGGCCTGCAAACACCAATGGCTAGGACTGACAGTTCCCATTTTGCCACAGTAGTTTTGAACCCCTGCTCCCCTTTGCAAGAAAACTTAAAGTGAAACTACCCTTAAATGCATAGCCCCAATCACATTCACTTCCTCAGGCAAGCCTCATTTTGACCTATATCCTTGCAGCATGTTGTGTATGCTGTTTAATTGCAGCAAATAGGAATAATTGGCAAATAGGAATAGTCTCTGTGTAAGATGTACAACTTAACACTTTGATATATGTTTGCCCTGCAAAATAATTATCACAATCAAGCTACTATGCTCATCACCCCATATGTTTTTTCCTTACCCCCAACCCCTGGCAGCCACCACTGTTCTCTACATCTGTGATGTGGATCATTTTATGTTTCACTTATAAGTAAGAACATACAGGATTTGTCTTTGTGGCTGGCTTACTTCACTTAGCGTAACACGCTACATGTTATTCATTTACCTGCCTGTGGACATTTCTTGGGGTCTTGGGGTAATCCTGCAATGAAAGTAGAGCTCAGCTCTCTTTTCAAACTCCACATTTTATTTTTTTAGGATTTATATACATAAAAGTAGAATTGCTGGATCTTCCAGTGGTTCTATTTTAATGTTTTCCATAACGACCACACCAGTTTTCATTAACGTCTGGGGTGTTTTAACATTCCACATCCTCAACAATACTGCTAATTCAGCCTTTCATTTATGTAGGTGTACTTTGTGGAGCTAGTTAGAGAATCCTGTACTTTCTAGCAGGTGATTTTAATCCTTTTTTTTTTTTTTTCATTGTTACTCATCTACTCGACTTGTTTCTAGTTTTGTATTGTTTTAAAGATTTATTTATTTATGCACACAGTACTGGGGTACAGGTCAGAGGTGTGTGTGGGGGGGGTGGTGAGAGGATTCACCATGGACAGAGTGGGGAGTAGAACAGGCAGATTGACGAGTATACTGTTGAGGGGAGCAGTGGGCTGGTCAGGAGAAGTCTGCTGCGCCATGTGGGTCACCTCCCTGGGCACGGATCGAACTCATGCTGCAGTTGCTACTATAGCTTCATAGTGCTGTGCTTTAACCCACTGTGCCACCAGAGAGGACCCTAATTTTGTATTTTTATTTCCTATACTTTGTTTTTGCTCTGTGCTGTTGATTTTGTTTCACTTCCTTTTCCTTCTCAACTTTAAACATTTAAACTTTAAACATCTTTATCTTTCATATAAAGTAGTAACTCTTGTCTTCTTCATGAATGAAACAACGCAGTATATGAGAGAGGGAGAAAGGGCAGGTACCTGAGGATCTGTACAGAGTCTGTTCTGTGGGAATGTGGCTAAGTCAAGCACCAGGCATAGAACAGCTTGCTTAGGACTTCAGCTGAGCCCCAAAGGATGAGTTGTCAGCAGAGGAGCCAGGTTGAGCCTCCACATGTTCTCTCTTTCCTCAGCAACTGAGTGACTGGCTTCTGCATATCATCCTTGGGAAGCCCAAGGCACCAGGTGATGGCAACTTTGCGTCTTTCTGTTCTGCCCCAGGTAAGCATCACCCTTCCCTGTGAAATCTCTACCCAGTGCTTCCCTGCCTGGTCAGCAAATACTGTCAGTTTGTCCCGGTTGGGGTGCTGCCAGGAGTGCTGCCCGCAGAGAAATCTCCCAAAGTAAACTGGCTCAGTGATGCAAGTGTTGGAGTCTGTCCATGCAAAGGAGCAGGCCTGAAGTTAACCCTGCCCCTAGCAGACTCAGGGCCACCCTGAACTATACCTGGGCCTGAGCAGGGTTCTGTCATTCCAGGCAAAAGTGACCTTTGAGGATGTGGCTGTGCTTCTCTCCCAGGAAGAATGGGGCCATTTGGGCCCTGCTCAAAGAGGCCTCTACAGGGATGTGATGCTGGAAACCTATGGCAACCTGGTCTCCCTGGGTAAGGCTCCTTGCATGGATGCAGTTTAAGGAACATCTCTAGGGGCTGAGTGCTTACCAGAAGGTGGTCTAGGGGCCTCACCCAGAGACATGTGCCACTGATACTTGTCCAAGGATGACCTGGTCTGTGCAAAGGAAGGACAGCCTGTTCTTCCTGGAACTGCAAATTAGAATTTTCTCCTGCCCTAGGCCTGAGATGGGGAGTTATGTACCTCTGGTGCACAAAGCCTCCTGATCTCATCCCCTCTGCTTAGCTCTTCAACTTCATGACCAACGCCCTTCCTCCAGAGAGTGTACAGACTTGCTACTGTGCCTATACTTACCCTTTTCCCTCCCCCTGAAGTTCTAGGGTAGGACTGCCCTGAATCCTTGGTACCAACCCCAGGCCCCATCTCCTTCCTAGGAGCTGGACCTGCAAGTCCCAAACCTGGGGTGATTGCACAGTTGGAGCAAGGGGGTGAGCCGTGGGTCCTGGACACGCAGGGCGCCGAGGGGAGAAAGCGACTAAGAATCGATGACTCAGGTGCGTGAGGGGAGCTATAACCTGAACTCAATCACTGAACAAATATTTGTTGGGGTTCACAATGTCTGGTTAATGAAGGTGCATCAGGGCCTCAGGGCCAGGACAGGAGCTCTGAGTAATTTCTGCAGAGAGTGGTCTTTGCTGAAACCAGGTCACCTTTCCAGCCTGGATATCTCAGTAGATGGATTTTTGAGCTCAGTTTTCTAGGAAAGTGAGAAGGGGAAGAGTGGGTGGAGGAAAAGAGGGGAGGGCATTTGAGTGTGCTTTGAATAAGATTGGGTTCACAGGAACCATGTAGCCCTGCCTACTAGAACTTACGTTCTATGACGAGGTTAGAATTACATAGCGACTGTATGGAGTCCACCACTTCACTCCACCCTTGTCAGTTAACCTACTTGTTAATTATAGACCATTGTAGGTAAATGAAAGGATCCACATCATTCCAAGTCTCATTAATATGTATGCTGCTGTCCCTTTTCTAGCACTGTCTATTCCATGCCTTTATACAAATATTGCTTCTTAGCAGGAATGCATTGATCTCGTGCACACTACTGTGTTACCCACTTTTTCACTAAATACATTTCCATTTTTATACAGTTGACCCTTTGTATCTGTGGGGAATTGGTTCCAGGACCCTCTGTGGATACCAAAATCTGAGGATGCTCAAGTCTCTTATATAAAATGGTATAGTATTTGCATATATAAACTACAAAATATATAACCTACAAAATACTCCCATATACTTAAAATAATCTCTCAATTACTGTATAATACCTAACACAATGTAAATGCTATGTAAGTAGTTGTTAGACTGTACTGTCTAGGGACTATGACACTAAAAAATCAGTCTGACATGTTTGGTATAGATGCAGTCATTGTGGGCCTAATTACATAGTATGCATTTTCAATCCACAGTTGGTTGAACCCTCTGATGTGGAACCTGCAGATACTTGATGGCCAACTGTACACAAATCTTCCTTCCTGTTTTCAGAGGAAGTGCCAGCAGGAAGGGTGTTCTGTGGTTTAATTCTCCGGAATGCTGATATCTATCTTTTTGTATATGCCTTGAAGATAGCCTAGGGATGAACTTCTGGCTCACGGCATTTCCACTGGACATCCTTCACTGGCCATAGAACCTTTCTCTTTGACTTCTGGAGGCTATTCCACCCCTTGAGTCTGTCTGGACTCATTCAGGGTGTCTGAATATTGTAAGGGTCACCTTATTGCATGAAGCAGCAGTTTGTTCTGTTTTGTCATCATGCAGTATTCTGAGGTATAAACATACCACAACTAAGTCTCCATCCTACCTGTGATGACATTCATTGCCCCGTTTGGGGTTGTATACTGTCTTTCTTGGCTCACAGAGAATGCATTTCTGGTGGTGTGCACCTACAAGTGGAGTCAGTATGTGAATGTTTAGGCAAAGAAGGAATGAATGGAGAATTGAGAGGCTAAGAGAAGGCATTCTATGGGGCCACCATGAGTTTAAGATGCACATGGGTGGACTCCCTGGAGAGCCCAGGGCGGTGTATGGCCTGCTAGGGAGAAGCAAGCGACCCTAGCTTCTGTGTGCTCCTCCCTATCCTTCCATCGTCACTGTTGCCATGAGCTCAGTCTTTTGTCCTCTTGGGAAGCAGCTTGTTTTCCTGCTGTATTTTTAGAGATGATGTAGCAGTTGTTAGGTAGCAATAGACTCTTAGCCTTAATTTCTTTTTTTAAGATTTATTGATTTATTCATACAGAACTGGGGTACAGGCCAGAGGTACAGGGGCGGTGACAGGATTCACCAGAGACAAGTGGGGAGCAGAACAGGCATACTGACAAAGTAAACTGCTGAGAGGAGCAGCAGGCAAGGCAGGAGAGGTCTCCACACCATATGGATCACCTCCTGGGCTAGGGAATCAAACTCACACTGAAGTGACTGTGGCTGACTTGCAGTGCTGCCCTTTAACCCGCTGCACCACCAGGGAGGGCCAGCCTTAATTTCTTTGTCAAATGTTCTCCATGAATTTTGGGGGCCTTTCCCTTATCTAGTTACATGCTGCTATGAAGTCTCTATGTTTTCTCCCTTTGTAATGAGGGCAGAAACAGTCTCATTTGGGCAGGTTTTGAGGACAGAAGGCAGGCAGGAAGAGCAGGGATGTTAAAGTTGGTCTAATTCTGGTTTTAAATACACTACCACATGGCTGTAGCCCTTATCAGGTTCCTTAAGTCTTTGAACTGCAAGGTCTTATCTCTGTAAGGCCATTGTGACTTTGCTGATGACTGAATTGATACTCAATAGGTGGTCAGAAGCATCTTCCTAACTTCCTTCCAGAGTCAGAACAGGTGACCTTGAGATATTCTGTTTGTTGTTTCAGCTCATGGGTCCAGAACTGAGTACAAGGAGTTGACTTCAGGGGAGATGCTTAATGGAGAACAACTGGGCCAACTCAGGGGAACTATTCTACAGGGATCTAAGCCTGGAGAACCCCATGAGCATGTCAGGGAGTCAGAGGAGAACCTGGACAAGTCAGGAGGGCAGAGAGGCCCCAGGCCAGTCATGGTGACCAACAAGGAAAGCAGCCAAGTGTCTGGGGGAAGCCTCAGGTTGGAGTTAAGCCCTGTCCTTGATCAGAGACCTCACAAATGTGATATATGTGAACAAAGTTTCGAACAGAGATCATACCTCAATAACCATAAGCGTGTACACAGGTCAAAGAAAACAAATATAGTGCATGATTCTGGGGAAATCTTCAATGCTAATTTAGCTGCTCAAGATCATAAAAGTACTGTTGGAAAAAAGTTGCATTATTGTGGTTACTGTGGGAAAACCTTCAGGTATAGTGCTAACCTTGTCAAGCACCAGAGACTTCACAGTGAAGAGAAGCCCTACAAGTGTGATGAGTGTGGGAAAGCCTTCAGCCAGAGCTGTGAGTTCATCAATCACCGAAGGATGCACTCAGGGGAGATCCCATACCATTGTGATGAGTGTGGGAAGACATTCAATCGAAGGCCCAATCTCATGAAACATCAGAGAATTCACACCGGGGAGAAGCCCTACAAGTGTGGTGAGTGTGGGAAACACTTCAGTGCCTACTCTTCTCTTATCTATCATCAGAGAATTCACACTGGAGAGAAACCCTATAAGTGTAATGAATGTGGAAAAGCCTTCAGTGACAGCTCAATCCTTATACGACACCGTCGGACTCATACTGGAGAGAAGCCATTTGAGTGTAAAGAATGTGGCAAAGGCTTTACCCAAAGTTCTAACCTTATTCAGCATCAAAGAATTCACACTGGAGAGAAACCCTATAAATGTAATGAATGTGAGAAAGCCTTCATCCAAAAAACCAAACTGGTTGAACATCAGAGAAGCCACACCGGAGAAAAACCCTATGAGTGTAATGACTGTGGCAAAGTCTTCAGCCAGAGCACACACCTCATCCAGCATCAGAGAATCCACACAGGAGAGAAACCCTACAAGTGCAGTGAGTGTGGGAAGGCCTTCCATAACAGTTCCAGACTCATCCACCACCAGAGGTCACACCACGGAGAAAAGCCATACAAATGCAGTGCTTGCAAGAAAGCCTTTAGCCAGGGTACTTATCTCATCCAACACCAAAGGATACATACGGGGGAGAAGCCCTACAAATGCAGTGAGTGTGGAAAGGCCTTCCGGCACAGTTCCAATGTGTTCCAGCATCAGAGGATTCATCTCCGGGAAGATGTCTCAATGTGATGATGAAGGAGGACCAATGAGTCCTACTGTCTATTTTTTCCACATGATTCATCCCACCTCTTTATTTATTGTCCACATAGTGGTGTCATTAGTTGAAAGGGCATTTCTATTTAATTATAAAATAATCTTAAAAGCAGAGCATGTTCATTTTATAGAAATTAAGAGAAAGTTCTGAGCAAAAAGAAGTTAATTTAATCTTCCTCACTTAGAATAAAAGTATTCATCACTGCTGACTTAGTCTGTTTATTTTCAGACACACAGAAGAACATTTTAAAGAAAATACTGTTATGCTTATTGCAGCATCAAAGAACTTCACAATTGCTAACTCTTTAATACCAGAAGATTCATATTGTGGAGAATTCCACATATTTACTTATTTTACATGTTATGAGAAGTTAACATTGTTCATACTTCTCCCAGTCACTTAACAGAGATAATTGCATTTTTGAGTTAAAATATGCATAATATAAAATGTACTAGTTTGACAATATTTTAGTTACAATTCACTGACATTAGTACAGTCGCAATGTTATATAACCATCAGCACTATTTCCAGAACTTTTTTTATCCCAAACAGGATGTCATTCAACAATAACACTCCATTCTCTCCTTCTCACAGTTACTAGCAAGGCTTTTCTATTTCCTTTCCCTATATCTTTGCCTATTCTAGGGATATGTAAGTAAAATCATACACTATTTGTCCTTTATGTCTGGCTTGTTTCACTTAGCATGTTTTCAAGATTTTTTTGTGTTGTAACCTGTATAAGAACAGCATTCATTTTTATGGTGTAATAATAATCATTGTATATAAATGAAACATTTTGTTTATCCATGCATTTGTTGACTAATATGCATAATGCTGCTATGAACATTCGTATACAAGTTTCTGTCTCTATTTTGGAGTATTTACATGATGATTTTCTTTTTAACTTCTGGAGGAATGCTCAAACTTCCATAATGATGGTACTGCTTCACATTCCCTCATAGCAAAGCATCATAACATTGCTACTACACCTTTGCTTATTAACAACATTTTACTATTTTTTAAAAAATAATAGCCATTCTAATGCATTGAAATGGTGTCTCACTGTAGTTTGGGCTTGCATTTTTCTAATGTCTAACTTGTACATGTTTTTTAGATACTTATTGATCATTTGCAGATCTCCTTTGGAGAAATGTCTTTTTTCCTTTCAGAGTCAGAACAGGTGATCTTGAGGTGGTATTATCCTTTGCCTGTTTTTAAATTAGGTTATTTGATTTTTTTTGCTGTTGAGTTGTGAGAGTTCTTTATATATTTTGCATAGTAATGACATCAGTATATGTTGCAAATACTATTTCATTTTGAGTTGTCATTCAACTGTATGGTGTATCTTTTTTAAAATACCTAAACTTTAAAAATTTTTATTAAGTTCTATTTTTTTTTCTTTTATTATCCATAGTTTGGCTGTCATAGTCAAGAAATCATTGCTAAATCTAGGTAATAAAAACTGGCCCCTGTGTTTCTCACTAAGGGTTTATTATTTTAGGTCTCTGTTTTGGTCTTTTCTCTATTTTGAGCTATTTGTAATATACAGTATAAGGGCCAAGTTCATTCTTTTACATGTGGATCTCCACTTTTCTCAGCAACATTGTTGAAAATACTTTCCTTTATCCTGAAGTAGTATCTCTACTATAACAAAATACCAAGGATGGGTGGCTTAAAAAAAAATACTTTTCACAATTCTTGAGAACTGTTGTTGAGAAGTTCTAATGAGGGAGTCTCTCCCAGATTTGCATGCAGTCACTTACTCACTCTGTCCTCATATGGGTTTGGGGGAGAGAGAAGAAATTTTTTTTATTTAAAAATAATTTAAGATTTATTTATTTATGCATACAGAGCTGGAGTACAGGACAGAGGTACAAGGGCGGTGAAAGGATTCACCAGAGACAGTGGGGAGCAGAAGAGGCTAACTGACAAAGTACACTGCTGAGGGGAGCAGCAGGTGAGCCAGGAGAGGTCTGCATCACCAAGTGGGTCACCTCCAGGGCGGGTGGGGACATTTAAATGCTAGAACTACTTCTTAGTTTATACTATAGTCTCATCCACCAACTAATCAAATTTCCAAAACATTTATTTTCTACTGTTTTATATGCCCATTATATAAAATTTAGGTTTATTTTCCATTTCTCTCCTAAAATTGTTCTCTTCTAATAGTGTTTAACTAATTAACTGTTCTTTTCTTTTTGATAGTTTTTAATATTTTTGCTATCTTTGGTATAGTTTTGTTCTGGATATAAGTCCTTTGTCAGAAATATGCACTGACTATATCTGTTCCCACTTTCCCTTCCTTTTCATCTCTTAACAGCATCTTTGATGAGCACAAGTTCTTAATGAAGTTTCATTTGTTACTACTAACAATACATTTTGTGCCATATTTAAGAAATCTTCATCATTAAAGTCAAGAGATATTTTATGGACACTTTACTTTCACACTTAGGTCCATTTGTCATTTCTTTTATATACTGTGTAAAAAAGAGTAAACATTATTTTTTAAAAATATGAACATTCAGTTGGTCCTGCCCTACTTCCAGCTAGCAGTCCTTTTCCCTCTAGCATTTCATTGCCCCCTTTCCATAAACTAGGTGCTATATGTGAGTCAGCTACTAAATTTTCAATTCTATCTTTTCTATCCTTTTTCTAATATCATACTTTTTAAACTTCTGTAGCTTTATATAAGTCTCCAGATAGGTTTGATTTTGTTCTTAGAGATTATCTTCTTATTGACACTTTACATTTTCAAGTATATTTTTGAGTTTGCAAGTTCCACAGAAATAGATACTGAACTATGTTAAATCTCTAGATCAACTTGGAAGAAATTGGTACAGTATTAAGTTACTCCACTCATGATTATCATGTTTTTATATTTATTTAGAACTTTAATTCATTTCTATGAAGTTCTTTCAAGGTTTTATTTTTTGTTTTTTGGTACCAACGTTACATTATACTCATGCAGTAAAAAGTATTCCTTCTTTGTTTTTTCACTAAAAAATTCTATTTCTCCCTAACATAATTTTTGTAGTATTTAAAATAAGTAGTTTGTCTTGTTTATTATCTTTAAGTTATGTGATGCTGTTTACTGATGGCCCCCGGAGTATCCTTTCTGCTTGTACACTAAATAGTGCTTTGACCTCTAGAATGCCATGTACTTGCAAATACCCACCAGGTTTGGCTGAGATCTACAGCTGCATTTTGAGTGGCATGTTCTTTAACAGTTGTGTTAACAGAACTTTATATTTTTTCTATATGAAAGAGGATTTATTAATTCTTCACCATTCATTTAGCCACCCATTCATATAATTATTAGTTTTTTTTATGGTCTACTTGAAAATTATCTCAGTCCTTAAGCTGGTAAATTGGTTAACCATGAATTCCTGTTCATAGTTCAGTAATTCAGTCATTTCAGCAGAGGAAGCTCAAGTGCGTAAACTCCCTATTTCCACAGTTTCTGTTTATTGAAAGTTTGGGGCCAAGGTTAACTTTCCAGTATTGTGTTCTGTCTTGTGTTTAACTCAGAAGTAAGTTGTAGAAATGTATAATCTCCTTTCAGTGACTTCTTCCTAGCTTTCTTCATAAAATAACTAAGGCCTTAGTCTAAGTACCTTTATAGAATTCTTCAGATAGTACTAATTTACAGAATAGACAGATCATGTAGTGTTTAGTCCTTTTATCTCCTTGACATTTTCTGACCTCTCCTAGCTATCCATTTCTGGGGGTCTTTTCAACTTACTTTTGACTTTTCTTGTGAAGAGGTATCTCATATTAACCCTAGAGTGACTAACATTTGATTTCATATGACAGGTTTCTATTAGAGTTTCCTCAGTGTTCTTGTCCTATGGATGGCACTCTATTGTAGTTTCAAACACTTTAGAAACTCTTTTCACGTTTTCATTCTTATCCATTGGCTATTTTTTTTTAAAGATTTATTTATTTGTACATACAGAACTGGGGTACAGGTCAGAGGCTCAGGGGCGGTGAGAGGCTTCACCAGAGACAGAGTGGGGAGCAGAACAGGCAGATCAACGAAGTACACTGCTGAGGGGAGCAGCGGGCGGGTCAGGAGGGGTCTGCCACGCCATGTGGTCTCCTCCAGGGCAGGCGGGAATTGAACTCATGCGGAAGTGGCTTTAGCTTCTCAGTGCAGTGCTTTAACCTGCTGCACCACAGGGAGGGCCACCATTGGCTATTTTGATGAAAACCTACAATGAAGAAGAGAGCCAGAGTCTGGCGCTCAAAACTTTGTGCCAGAAAATCAAGTTGGTCCTGTACCATCTTAATTTGGTCATTATCAACATTTGTTTTCAATAAAGATTATGAAATTTCAGCTATTTATTGAGTTCTTATTCAAGATTATGCTAAGTCTATTACACTCATTTTTATGTACCAATAATTCTTATAAGTAGTCCCATGAAATAGGTATAGTTGTTTTTTTCTCTTTCTCATAAACTAGAATACAGATTTCCTCACATAGTGGCTAAGTGATTTGCACAAGGTAACCTTACATAGAAGCAGAGATGGATTTTGTATTCAAACATTTCTGACAACTCCCTTTCCTCATGCCCACACTGTCATGAGTTTATGACTTTGGCCTATCTTGCCACCATCTTTCCTTTGCCATTCATACTTTTGCTTTTTGGAATTCACAGCTTGATGAATTATGAATTACTTCTTTCCTCTATGACTCTACCCTGCTAGCACTGTATCTATCCTAACATTGGTACATGAACTTGCTCTTCCAAGTCCACACAGAGATAACCATGGCACAGGCAAGGAATTTTATTGCTTTACTTTTTTGGTGGTGGTACTGTTCTCCAAGTATGACCACTATAATACATTGTTTTGTTTCCTGTTCCAATTTCCCTATTAGGTTTTTCTATGTACATGTCATGTATCTTAATATCTGACAGTGGTAGTGTTTCTGTTATTCTTCAATATCTTGACCTTCACATCTTCCTTTCAGAATCCCCTTTTTTATAAATATAAGTTTGCATCATTTCTGTTGACTTAGGGAAGCAAAGCTTTACTTCTCTTGAATTTTTTTCCTCATAATTTAACAGTTCTTCCTCAAGTACTGAAAGTAGTTCATATCTAAATATTTTTGTCAATTTACCAATTTGATGTTTTTAAAACACTGATGAAAGTGGTAAGGCCTTTTATTTTATATTTCACAAACTCTGTTCTACATATGTTACATAAGTCCTGTCAACTCTGTTTTTTTTCTTTGTGCTTTTGGTACATATATTTCATTCTATTGGAAATTTGAATAATATAAGAATATTTTAATTTGGTCTCTTACAAACTATTTTTAAGTAATTCAGAAATTACTTACTACTTCTAATTGTATCTTCTTTCTCCATGTGTACTACTTCTAATTGTATCTTCTTTCTCCATGTGTACTTGAAATATCTTTCCATCACTATTACCAATGTTGTGTGAAAAAGAAAGCACATATTCTTAATAATACATCTTTTCTCTCCTTGTTGGGGGCTTTATATTAATCCTTTTACTGTATTCTTCCAAACACAATCACCACAGTCCATACTGGGCATTCTTTCTGTATCTTGGCAAAAGAGAAGGGATACCTTGGATAGCAAATCCTTTTAATTGCAAGTTAATTTTCAAGTCCATTACTTGATTATTTCAGATGCTAGTAGTACATAATTTCTACCCTTCAATAACCTACTGTCTAACGAGGAATGAGAGACATGTAAATAGGTAAATCACACCTCTATGTGGTAAGTGAGAACACATTGTTGGCAAGTGAGAACAGTTGGCATGTGTTAGTCAAAGACATTTAAGCTGAATCACAAGAATGAGTGGAGGTTAACTGAACAAAGATGTGGGAAGCAATCTAGAGGAATATGTGTGCAAAAACACAGTATGGAGAGGGAA